TATTTGGTTGTCACGAATTTATTTATTTTTTTTCAAGAAATTATGTTTAAAAATAAAATAGTATACAAACCTCGACGCAAAACTTCATTGCTGTCTCGAGGTTCAGTTTATATAACCTCTCGATCAGCAATGAAGCATTTCCCGTCTCGGATTGTCATATACTATTTTCCAAACATTTCAAGTCGTGTAAAAAAAAAAATTGACATCTATGACTGTCAAACCTCAACATTTCCCTTTTTATTTTTTTTCGGCCTTAGGACGTACCGTAGCGAAGAGGGTCAAATGTACTTTTTGACGTATTTTTTGCTCCTCTATCCGATAGAATTTTTTTTTTTTGAAATTCGATATTTGAATTTTTAGCTTCCTAGATAGGAAGCTATGGTGATAGCCCGATTTTGACCATGTCAAAATTTTATTAGATGTACATATGTATAGTCCAACAAATACCATTTTAAAGTCACGTGATTTTTCTCTATCCTTGTTGAATACATCTCAAACAGAGGTGATAGTAAAATTGACAAAAAAATTGCTGTCTAATTATTCTTCATAATATTCTTACCTGAAATAGAATCCGTCACTGTCATCAATTAGTTTGTCAAAGTTATTTTCGAAAATAATACAATGAACAAACACAGCTAATAATTTTGACTATATTAACCTTTTTCCAACTCGAAAAGAAGCAAATAGAAAACGGGTACCCAATTCAAGTTCAGAATGTAGTACAAGGGGCAGCAGAAGTGACAAAAGTGAGTCTCACAACAATTGCAAGTATTAAAATTCCCATCTGATTGGTTAATATTACTTCAGAAACGCGTTTGTAAAATGCTAGTGGGAACATATATTAAAATTCAATAGTAATTAACCACCAGTGGCTTTTTGTAGGTGATATCAACGACATAATCAATGGACATACGTTTTTTGCCACCAGTATCACGTGACTTTAAAATGGTATTTGTCGGACTATATGTATGTGTGTTGGCATTTTTCTGAGAAAACGGCTCGATCGAATTTGATGAAATTTTGGAAATGGGTATAAAAAGACGCGTAGGGAAAAGTTACACAGAGATATTGAAAAAAAAAAATCCTCTCCAAGATATGACGTTATTGATCTTTTTTTTTTAAATGGGAACGCCATCTTTTTTTTCATTGATTGGTTAGAGCTCATTTTGCTTTATATAATAAGTACTAAAAAAAAAAAAAAAAAAAATAAAAACTCACAAATCTCAATAGGTTTCATTGGGACATTTTTATCAAGATTTATTAAAATGAATTCATATGGTTTGAAATGACAATTAATGACAATGACAATCATTAATTAGGTAGTTATTTGTCTAGGAAGCGTTATGTCAAACATTTGACATCTGGTTTCGACAATGCAACACTAATACGACTAGTACGCATTACGTGGACGGGTTAGTTTGGGCTAGTTTGCATATTTTTGGTTAGTTTCATTACAGTTCATTTAATACTGGTTATAAGTGTACTGGACTACTAGTTAATAACAAAGAGCGCTGTTTTTTTTCTAAATTCAATACATGCAAGGACTAATACGCATTACGTGGACGGGTTAGTTTGGGCTAGTTTGCATATTTTTGGTTAGTTTCATTACAGTTCATTTAATACTGGATATAAGTGTACTGGACTACTGGTAAACTGATACACAAGTGAAAAAACAATCCGGACGAATAATAATATAATAATAATCCGGAAGTTCCGGGCTAATAAAAAAAAATATATTCAACCGGAAGATCCGGGTGATCAGGGACACCAAACATATAATAACACCATTTCCTAATAGCGTAAGACATAACATAATGAACCACAATAAACCTAAAAATTCTTAAAAGTTTCAGAGTGATCATAAATGTTTCATAAGTTCATAATTTCATTAAATCTAAATCGGTTCACACATTATTCATAAACATAATGACATGATCTCATAAAACATAAGTAGGTACCTATATAAAGTAAAGATAAATCATAATTCATAAATTCCATAAAATTACATAGGTACTATGTATTTCATAAATCAAAATTGGATTTCCTTCTTTTTCATACTTGCTGAACTACATTAGCTGACTTTGAAGCCCTTGCTGGACAATCTGTATATCGGTGGCCCATCTGACCACAAGAAAAGCAGGAACCTCTCTCCCTTTTTGGCTTTGTACACTGAGCTGCATATGTCCCCACATCGTTGAAGCATCGATTATTATTGGTGGTGGGTGTGGAACGCCTTCCTGATTGAGAGTTCATTTTTTGTTCCCATTTTTGAAAATGATGAAGTTAAATTGTCTTTAACTGAGCGGTCACTCACAGTGACATTATTCATGACTATTGCGAGTCATGAATGTTCTTGAAGTGACACAAACTTCTACATCTTGCTTGGGACTGTAGGATAGGATGGTCAAATCCGTCAATCATATAGTCAATCAAATCGGAGTCACTGAGTCCAATTATATTTCCAAGACGTATTTTTATCGTGGAAATACACTGAAAATAGCTCATTTTTCTTTCATCTTCTGGACCTAAAGTTGTCCATTAGTAGGACTTTATCAGGTCCTTGATCCAAACATATTAATCATCTCTGTCTGCAGATCCTTCCATTCCATTGTGACATATAACGTTTTAGACAGGAACCAATCTCGAGCTTGCCCCATAAGCTTGCCACTAGCAATAAGCTGCATAACCTAGTCAGGTACTTGGTATACTGCCTGAACTGCATCTAAACGCTGTACCCAAGTCTCAATATCTTGCCCTGACCCATTGAAATTAGGCAGAAGAGCTGCTATCTCTTCATTCTTAAACCTACGTTGGGGGGGCTCAGGATTAACAACTAGGGGTTGTCTAGGATTCAATTGCTCGTGCAGCATAACACTTCTTACAGTAGTTTGAACATCTTCCACTGTTAGCTGAGGTGGAGATCCATCACCTGCACCCGTCTGATTCAGATCTTCCATAGACATTGTCGGGCTGTTATAGGATTTATCCCACTTCTGATATTGTAGGGGGGGCTTGTGAAAGGGGTCTAATAATCCGGGGCTTCTCCTAAAATAAAGCAGCACGTTATTTGAATGATCGAAGGGAAATATATTCGCAGTAGAATGATATAAAATATGAATAAAATATGACATAAAATAATGACATTCATCATTATTGAATACCAGCACTAGCACTTCTGAAATTTCTAGAAGGCATCATCAGGTACAGGTAATCGTTAACAAGTCCAATATCTTAAAGCCGTGGCGCACACTAATAAAATTACTACACACAATGATATTTTTTCATGTGACTTGTCAAATAAGTTTTACGTAGCTACAAGTACAGCATCTTCCCAAAATATATTATCCATTTTTGCTTACATTAACAAAGATCCTGCTTTGTTTATTGGTGTCCGATTCATTCTTTCCGCAGCACCATTAAGTTGGGGAGTATAGGGAGGAGTATAACTCACAGTCCAATTTTTATAATCTGATACTCTAAAGGAATGCGAGTTGGAGACTCCCCATGCCAACGGTCACTTGACCTCACATATTTTTTTGCTGGATTTTTCCTCCCCTCGCTCCTTATACGAAAAGTGTCAAATTTAAAAAAACTAAACATTACCTGAATGCCTTTCTTGGAACAAATATAATATCAGGCCCTTCTTTCTGAATATAAGTTTATCCAGAAACCCACAAAACATTGAAAAATCGAGTTTAAATACTTGCGTAACAAAAATGAGTGCGCAAAGTTCAACTTTGCGCACGCAAATGAGTGTGCAAAGTAGTAACTTTGCGCACGCAAATAGAAAAAATAAATTTCCCGATTGAAATATGTTATGCTTCTCGACCTCCTGAACGTAAGTTCTCGTAGGCCCAAAAAGATCCTATGATTAAGTTTCGGAGATACGAGACCGGTTTCCTGGAATTCTTAAAATAAATAAATCGTGTTTTAATTACAAAAATACATCCATTAATTTAATTCATAATCAAAAATTACATATTTTTGGCATTTTTCGACAAGTTTTCAAGTTACAAAGCTTTAGATGACATTACTTTGGCATTTTTCCATCCGTTTTTAACCTCCTAGAATATTTTAGTGCCTGAACTTAACATATTTTGAAATGTTTATTTATGTTTGGTAACCCGACCCTGTATCTCTGAAACTAATCATAGGATCTTTTTGGGCCTACAAGGACTTACGTTCATATGGAGTTGTTATCTTTTCGCTCGAGGAGGATTAACCGAACTCTATTAGGAGCGCATCAAAATATCAATTCTTATTTCTAGCTCTTAAGAAAATGCGCCAACCACTATGTTTTTGAATAATAATCATTACGGTGAAGAGAGCGATTATTTAAAAAAAATTACTGGAAATATTTGAAATACTTTTTTTTGTCACAGCTCGGGGGGCTGCAGCTTGGCAGTCCCCCCCTTTGGTACGCCACTGAGTGGCAAAATTATGAAAAACTTGAAACTTGGAATTTAACGTATCCTCGCACACCCTGTGTATTTTGTGTTCACGATGGGTTTGATGCTCTGGGTCTGGGTGTCATTATAACACTAAATTTTAATTATTTTATAAGCAAAAAGAAAAAAACATATAAGAAACAATGGAAAAATGTTCCAATGGATGAGTATAATAATTTCATAATATATTCATTCGGGTATGCCTAGAAAAAATGAATAAAAATAATTGTAGAAATGGGGTGGCAACAAAAATTTTGTATTTTTACCGTAAATAATTCATATCACCCTGTATAAAAAAAGCTCAAATTTAATATATATTTTTTTTTTTGTGTAAAGCAGATGAATCAAATCAAATCAAAATAAAGCTTTATTAGACAAAAAGGCCTTAAGACCCTTATTATTCACAAAACTAAAATGGAAATAAATAATAGGTTTGTTCGGACTTAGTTCAGAATCAGTTCTGATTTGAACTACGTGGGAGCTCAAATTGAAATATTTGTACTAAATTTTTTTGATCGCAATGGTTTGCTGAAAAAACAAAACACAAATATAACTAAAATTATTTTTATCTTTATTTTTAGTTCTGTAACAACGCCTACCAAATGTTATTAGTTTTGGAAAAATGTCACAACGAAAAACCATCCATAATTTAAACTAAAACCTTTTTTATGTTACACTTTCAGCTTTTTGTTACAGAGCACTTCTTCTAACACCATTCTTATAAAATAAAATTTAATAATAAAATAACGAAAAACATTAAATGTTTGTATACAATAAAATGCAGCCTTAACAAGTGTAAGCTCTATTTGTGTATTACAAAAATCATGATTAAACAAATATGTAATAGTAAAAAAATTAAAATAGATAATAATATATAAGCACTCATTAAAATGACACCTCAATAATTAAAAAAAATGGCAAACTTAAATAAGTATAATAGCACCTACAGAAGCTAAAGATCAACTAATTTGGAAGTCTTTAAATGCCGCATACTTAATTTTTATTAAAAATAAGTTGCTTAAGTAAATGCATCAAATTTTAAAAATAAAAAGGTAATCCATGTTGAAAAATCTCCAATTTTTGCTGCCGTTTTTTTGTGGCGCCTTAGAAAAGGAGTTTATTACAAACCCCTAGAACAAAGTACACATTTGTTGAAATAGGAAATAATAAAAAGTCCATATGACTTGAAGAAACACATTTTTTTTTTTGTTGACTAGTAAAATCCTATATGGCTCAAATTATCACATTTTACCATAAAGTATTACACAATCTTGACTACTTTAAAGCATTTCAACAATTTTTATTTTAGAATAGTCTGGACATTTTTTTTTTTTAAATATTTAATAATTGATCTTACATTTATTTTAAAACCTTGAAAATTTTTAGCCGAAAAGTTTTTCGAAACACATGTGACAGTACGGTTTATCGTTTTGCTCTTTGAACGTGCCCTTGTTGAGCTGTTTCAAACAAAAAGCGCAAACGAAATGTTCCGGATGGAATTTCCTGAACATTGCAGTGACGCAACGCCCTGATATCGGTTTGTGGCATCCTGCGCAGAGGGAGCCGCGTTTCAAGTGGTAGTGGGTTTCGCAGTAGGGTTGGCCTTCGTGGTCGAAGAACGAGCCGCCGATGAAGGGCTGCCTGCAATCCTGCAAAAAAAAAAGAATCATGTAAATTGAATGATTGAGTATTGTCTTATTGTGTAAAATTTTATTTACAATAAATTGTTTCTAAAAAAATAAGTAACACATTCAACATGATTGATAATACAGAACTGAGAATACCTGGAGATATTTAACATGAAAAAGTTTCGGAAAACTGAAAACTAGATCGTAAAAGATATAAGGATTGCAAAAAAAATTTGGATTGAATGAATTTAGTTCAGAAGCATTGAAAATAATAATCCCATTCTTTCTATACATATTTTGTTTGGTGCTATACATTTAAGGCACTCTAGTTCAAGTTCATAATAAATATATTTTCCTAGGATTATCATTTGACTTGGGACCATTCCTTTTTGTTAAATCATTTATGTGATTGTAATGTCTGAAACTCACATAATTTGTAACATGATCGAAACGCGTCTGTGGATGGAAAAGAAAATTAACCTAAAATTTTCACATAATTTATAATAATGACTTCAATATACCTGGCCTCTGTATGGTATTTAATGAAAGCACATTAAACCGGTGTGATGTTTGTTTGATTTAGGTACGTTAGGCAAGAATGTTTCATGTCTAGTCAGCTATCAACCAAAGGAAATTTAAAGATCATTTCCTGTTCGTTGCAGAAGAATGGCAAAATAATAGATATCTTATCAACATATGTATAGGAGTTTTGCAACAAGCAAGAAATAATTCACCAGCAACTTGAATATTATCTTGCAAAGAACTTTGGTGGACCAGGATAGAACTTATGTATTTACTGGCGACATTAACATAGACCTATTGGACATGAAAGCACAAATAACTACAACACAATAATGCAGAGCCATGGATTTGTGAGCATGGTAAACAAAGCTACAAGAAAAACGTTAAATTCACAGTCTTGTCTTGATCACTTTTTTATAAAATGTAAAAATAGTTTTTTACAAAGTGTAAATGCAGTAATATTGGAACATAGGCTAACAGATCATGATCCCGCCGTGCTTAATATAAAAAATTGAGTAATTATAATTCTGAAAATAAGGCCAAAAAATTTCCATATGAAGTCATTGATTATGAGAAACTCGTTAATATTAAGCAGCAAGCAAGATGGGATAGTGTTCTGGGTGCTGGTGATGCTGATATCTGCACAGAAAATTTTATTAAGAATTTGAAGGGAATAATAACATTGATAACGCAATCTACCAAAACAAAATATATTACTAGTAAAAAAAGGCATCTGAAGCCATGGATTTTTGGTGGTTTGTTAGTATCTATCTATAAGGACTATAAGATATAGGGATTAATAAAAAAAAGAGTGTACCTACAATGAATCGCAACAATATAGCTCTTTTGCATAGATATAGAGAATATAAAAAAATGCTTACCAAACTAATAAAAGTATCAAAATATTCTTATTACAAAAATACCACCAAAAATAATATGAACGACTCTAAAAAGTTATGGAATGTCATAAGGGAGGTAACAAACGACCAGAAGTCCAGTATGAAAATAAATAGTATCTTTGATAATAACAAAGTCAAAAGGGCTGGAGTGTAATTTTTCCTTAATCCGATTTCAGAATTTGACTTAAGTAAGGAAATAAAAAGTCTAAGAAATGGGATGAGAGGGGGAGAAGATGAGATAAGCTCAGACATTATAAAAGCATTTAAGCCCTATATCATCAAACCATTGTTGCATATTGTAAATGTGGTTTTTGGTACTGGGGTTTTCCCTGAGGTGCTAGAGACTGCAGTAATTGTTCTGTTATATAAGCAGGGTGATAAACGATTGACAAGTAACTATAGGCCTATTGCTTTTACTAGCACAGTTACCAAAATTATAGAAAAAAATGCTACAGAAGAAAGTTAATGTCTTTTTTATAAAAAAAAGTGTTTGTTAAGTGAAAACCAATTCGCGTTCAGGGAGGGCACCAGTACTGAGAATGATGCACTGTATTTAAAAAAATGATCTTGATGATGGCAGCTCGATCACGAAACGTCGGATTAAAATTTGAAAATGCCATGTTGTAGAGCAAAAAAAAAACTTTCAAATTAATATTGTCTTGAAAATCAATAGCTTTCGAAATAATTGATGAAATATTTTTGGGCGTTTTTTTCATAAACTAAAAGGAATTTGGCAACACTGCAAACGAGTCTTTAATGGGCATCAAAAAAGGCAACTTTTAACCAACCTTCTAGCTCTTACCATTTCTGATATAGCAATAGTGGTATCACTTAAAAAAGTATTGTTAAAATTGCACTGCTGAATAAATAAATAAAATAAATAAATAAATAGATAAATAAATAAATAAATAAATAATTGTTTTTTAATTATTCTCAGATCATCATTGAACTTTAGTAACTCTTGTCCTATATTTTCCACTTATTCCGTAGTTCTCATCTACAGCTTTGTTACGTTATTTTTTTGTTCCTGGTAATTTAAATTATTAAGTAGATCTATTTGCCCCCAATACTTGATCTCCTCTAGTATCACATATTAACGCAGAAACTTTGATGCATCTATAGCCTTCCTCTCCTTTCCAACATCAATTCCTTTTCTGCTGTAGCTCTTTTTGTACTCTATGCAGATTAGTGCAGATGTTCTTCCAGTTTTTTTGGCTTATCAATATTTTTCTTCTGAACGCTTTTGTCCAAATTCATTCTAGATGTAGATGTACTTCAATGTGTTCCTTCTTGCTTTAAAAGTTTGGACTATACCAACTTGGTACTTGATACTTATTTTTTCTTTGTCAATCCTATCTCCATTTCTTTTATTTTACTTTTGTGATCTGATCACTAAGTGATTTTTCATTTTTTTTTTTTTTCATTGGTCTGATTTTGTCGCTCAAGGTCCTTCAATACTTTTTCGTTCAGTGGCAGTCCATACATGATTTTCTGGGGGGGGGGGGGGGGGGGGGGGTAATGGATGACGGGCAAATCATCAAGTGTCGGAACGTACCGCCGGCGGAGGCGATTTTTTTTGGGGTGCCACGCCCAAATTTGCACCCGAAAGTCGTTTAAAAAACACGTTTGGGGCAAAAGTGTATCCCGATGCCGTCAAAATAGTTATACAGGGTGTCCACTTAGTGCGATATCGGACGATATCTTCTTACAGGATGATGCAAGAAAAAAAAAAAAATCAAAGTTGTTTGATTCTCTAAGGTGCATTACTCAAATATATTCTTAAATATACAGGGTGCTCTGTAAATGGGGTATGCGACAGAAATTTGTTATTTTTAAATGGAACACCCTATATTTTAGTACATTCTATCCTATACATACTTTTTGTTAGGAATCATCATACCAAAACTCAACCGTTTTTAAATTATTTAATATTTTTTCAAAAAATCGCAGCTTGCATGTGTCAACAAAAACTTGCCATATGAAATACCCCCTCGCTCCTCATTGTCCTCATACGTAAAGTGTCAGTTTAAAAACAACGGACTTTACTCACATTTACTTCATGGTCCTATGAAAATTTGTTAACATTCTACAGGGTGTTAGCAATACTGTACACAAAACCAGACATTTCAAACAACCATTATAGCACTGTATAGTAGTAAGTACGCAAGATTGTTTGACAGAGGTAGGTGGTAGGTTGCCTGATAACTTTATGACATCATCTATGGGGTGCTTCAACATAATGCAAATCTACATAAGGCTCCCAAATGCGCCATTAAGTTACCTATTACCAGACAACCTATGAAATTTAGGAACCTTGGTAGGTAAACTTGGCCAAACATAAAACTGGTACAGGCAATATATATTTTGTAGATTGGTCTTGTGAGTCAAGCTTAATAACACAAAGTCTGTTCGGAAAAACTTCAGACGTCAGACAGTTTTTGTCAACGTCAAAGCAAAGCTGAACAAAAGTAAATGGAACATGTTATGATTGGTTCAAACATGACACTGACTTGACTCTTTTTGTCATTGTTGAGGTGATAAAAAGGTCGATTTACACAAAACAACACAATAGGAAAATGCGTACCAGTTTTAGGATTGGCCAAGTGTACGTCGGTACTGGTGAGCCTATCATATTCATAAGATGCCTTTAATCCTTTACTTTGTAGAACTTGTCTTTTGTTGAAATTTTGTTGTAATTGATAAATGTATAAAAAAAAACTTTGTCTGGGGGGGGGGGTAATTACCCCCTCTACCCCCCCCCCCCTTTAAACCGCCCTTGTTTTCATTAATATCTACTATTTGACTTTCCAATGACCCAAACCTCATTTCCAGCTGTTATAGGCCACTTTTACATTTTTAAATTATTGTTAGTCATTCTAGTAACATCTGTATTGTATATACAGGATGAATGATGATCGATGGTATTTAATGGCGTTTCCGGTTGGTAGAATAAATGCAAAGCAAATGTATTTTTATCTATTTCTTCAACAGGCTGAGAGTTACTAATTTTGACCAACCCTGTATATTGTAGAACAAATTTTCTTACTTAAAAGTAATATGCAGGACCTCCCTAAATGTCGCTTTTTGAGATTTCCTCAAACCCTGAGAAAACCGTGTATGTTTAAGATTGATATGAATAACTTGTCAGATATTAACAAGTGTCCATTCTAAACTCACGACCTCCCAGGAAGGCTACGACTATAAATTCGGCCTCTCCAAAATTTAAACTTTCTACGAATCTCAGTGACGTAGTAATATAAATTTAACCAGAGATAAGTCGAAAATCACTAGAGATAGGTATAGGACAGTATTATACAAAAATAATTAGAAAGTAATAGCTTAACTCCAACAACTTAACTCTTTACAACTTTACAATATTCACTATCTAAAACGTATCACAGCCAATCTTAAACCTAAAAACTACTAACTAATACCGGCCTTTATATATCCGTAATCCATTCTTATAAAATCGAGAATAAACGCAACTATCTCTTGGCCCGGATAAGGCAGTCTTTTCTGGAATTTCAAGCATGGATTCTGTATACGTTGGGGAAAGCGCATCGTAACACTGCCTTCCTCTTCAGGTTGATTGTCCCGATC